TATGTATTACATAAAATATTAAAACAAAGGAATTATGAATTCTATGGCGATTAAAATGAATTTAAATTCAAATAAATCATAATATTTCTGCAATTATTAGATGATTATGCAAGATGCATCAGTTTCAAAGTTATAGTCAAATATATTTTATTTAGAAAATAAAAAAGAAAATGTGGATTTTTATTTCTCGCCTTCGTTATTTTTATTCAAACTATACATAAAGCTTCCTTTTTCACTATATATAATTAAAATTGTTTTAGTTTAATATATATTAATATATTTTTGGCATATAGCCACATTGTATATAGGCTTATGTATGTGTATATTTTAATTATAAAGTCCAGATATTATTTTCTCTATACCAGTGAGTGATCTTGATTATTTGATGACATTCAACAGTTAACATAACAGAAAATATATTATATGATAGTATAGATTAATTAAGTTTATAAACATTAATAAATAAAAGCTATGGGATATATAAGAGAGATTTATCGAAGATACGATTTATTTTCTTTATATATCAGCATTTCATAGAAGATTTATTTAATTTTATAATAATAATTATAATCACATAAATTTATTTACTAGATTATCAATTGATAAAACCAATAAATTCTGAATCGAAATTTCTGTGATTTTTCTTCTAATACTTTAATAGTCTTCTGTATAATATGAATGAATGAAAAAGCTAGTATAAGTCGAACATTTTAAATGGTATATACTTAAAGTAAAGTCAGTAGGTCAGTATATGTATATATTGTGTATGTATATATATAGTGGGTGTACATAGTTAACAACAAACAATCATAGCAGTAATCGATTTGAGGGCGTCCTTAAGAGCAAACACCATTAATAATGCAACGTGGGAAACAGCAGATTTACCAGCGGCCAGCAGAACTGGGAATTACAACCTTATGTATATATAAATAAAGTTCAAACCTGTCGCGTTCAAAACGAGGGTAGTTTATAAATACAGGAGATATTAGACCTTATTGCATTGTGATAGGGAAGGTTTTCCTATGTTATGGTTAATTTTTTTATAATATGTATGCGGAGTCGCGTATAAATCTAAATTGATATGAATTATGTGATTATTATCATTTTTCATATATTTTTTTTAATAGTCCCCTTTTAAATGTGTTCAACTATTTTTAAATTGTACTCTTATTAATATTTTTATACATATAATATGTACATATATGGTAATTTAATTTGTTTGTTTGCTATTGTTAAATCTCCTAACCGATCAAGAGTTTTTTTTAAATTTTGTCAGTTTAATAGCATATATATATTTGGGAAAAACATTATATATATTCAGAGCAAATAAATATGTACGAAATATCTTATTTTATATGTATTATAAGTTTCATATATATTTTTCAAGTAATAAATTATAAACTTAGTGTCTTTCTCAAATATTTCGTATTTCTACAACATATTATATCAAACTATAATTATTTCAAAGGGTAAAATACTATTTTATTATATAAATCTATACATAACATACTAATAATATTTACATATATATATATTCATCATATATCTTCAATATAATCTCAGATGTTAGTTCCCAGGGGATGTTTAAGCGAGGGTACAGGTTGTGGTGGTGTACTGACGAACAAGTTGAGAATTAATAGTGAATTCGTTCGATATAATTATAATGATTACAGTCAGGGCTTTTTATAATGTAATTTAAAATGAATGAAGACAGGTGCATCACCGTAATAGGGTTAGTAAATATGTCGTCATCATCATCATCAGCCTATCAGAGCCCACTGCTGGGCCTCTTCTCACATGGAGAAGATTTGAGCATTAATCACCACGCTTGCTCAAGACTGGTTGGTGATTTCAAACTTATAATTTGATATTATAAGTCCATGTTTCCTCGCGATGTTTTCCTTCACCGTCTGTCAGTGATGTCTAAATATTCTTAGAAAGTAGATCTGTTTCGGTAAAATCACACTGGCACTTGACAGGATCGAACCCGCGCCCTCATGTATGAGAGGCGGGCCTTTAACCACTAGGACACCACTGGTTAGTAAGTATTTTATATTATGGTTAATATATTCTCCTAAATATGGCTATATTGTATCTATCTATTGTTTCCGGGATATATTGTTTCTGCGAAGGTAATAAAAATATATGTTTTGTGATTTCTATTGTTAAATACTCGATAAATTTGGCAGTTTAAGTGGTTTTAATGAATAAGGAGAGTATTGAAAATCATTAAGAAATACATACAAGTTTATAATATATTAAAAACACTTCCCATATTTGTATTATAATAATTTAAATATATCAATAGATTCAAAAGTGAATTATTTACTTATAAGTTATATGTGTATCATGTATACTAGCTGACCCGGCAAACGTTGTTTTGACATATATAAAAAAAATAGGGGTTAGTGATAAAAAACGTAAAACTTTAATGTTGTAGGTATTTTTAATGCTACATTATAAAAACCAAAAACATTTCCTCTAAAAATTAAAATAGTTAAGGGTGAACAACTCTTATCAATTAGTGGCGTGAAAAATAGGTAGTAGTCGATTCTCATACCTACGATACTTGAATACTAATTTAAAATTTCATAAAAATCGGTGAAGCCGTTTCAAAGGAGTACGGTAACTAACATTGTGACATGAAAATTTTATATATTAGATACTAGCTTTCCGCCCGCAGCTTCGCCCGCGTGGAGTTCGGTTATATCGCGTTTCCAAGAGAACCATTCAAAAGTCTGGAATAAAAACTATCCTATGTTCTTTCTCCAGGTCAACTCTATCTCTGTACCAAATTTCATTAAAATAAGTTCAGTGGTTAAGCGTGAAAGCGTAACAGACAGACAGAGTTACTTTCGCATTTATGATATTAGTAGGGATACGATAGGCAGTTTGTTATAAGTTTACGTAAATAGTTTCTATATATATAGTAAATATATACAATGCTACAGTCTGTCTGTTCGTGCTGGTCGATGTTATCATCAGATTATGAGCCACCTTGAGGTTCCCACAGACCCTGCTCCAACTGAATGCACGGAGGAGGAATGTAACATAAATAAATACAACATGTTCATTATTATTTATATGTTACTTAACTACTAGAATTAATTAGCAAGTACATAGCTATTTGTAACTAGTTTCTGCCTTCGACTTTGTCTGCGTTATTTTCAGAATTAAAACTGTATAGCTGACCAGGTTTTAGTTTTGTTTTAGATGCAGTGATTAAAAGGATTTTGGATTTTATTAACAAATATTTCTTTAGACGACCAAATTCAAAAGTATCCTACTAAACTACTACCCCATTTTCTAGTCAAATCTTTATAGTAGTTCTTGAGTTATAAATAGTGTAAGTTATATGACTTTATTTTATATAGATAGATTTGTAGATGTTTATGTGTTTATGATCTGATAAATATTCTGGGTCACCTTGACTTGGTTCGCTAATAGTGAGAACAGTCTTCATCATCATCACAAAAATACCCTTGATCTTAGAAACTGTCCTCCAATAAGAAATTTTAAAGGCATGTATCTTTTATGTCAAATATATTATATACTAGCTTTCCGCCCGCAGCTTCGCCGCGTGGAGTTCGGTTATATCGCGTTTCCAAGAGAACCTTTCAAAAGTCTGGGATAAAAACTATCCTATGTTCTTTCTCAAGGTCAACTCTATCTCTGTACCGAATTTCATTAAAATCAGTTCAGTGGTTTAGGCGTGAAAGCGTAGCAGACAGACAGACAGACAGACAGACAGACAGACAGACAGACAGAGTTACTTTCGCATTTATAATATTAGTAGGGATGGAATATTTTATATATTAATATTAATATCGTGATGATGTAGGATGTGAAGAATTTGTACAGTGAATTGATTCGTTTAGTATATATGTGTGTTAATTTTTTTAAAAGTTTTTCAAACAAATATTCCTTGAAATAATCAATTCAATAGAAGCAGAATATTTGTAAAATTATTGTAAAAATATTTACATGTAGGTAATTTTTTCTATCATGTTATCATACTAAACAATTGCAGATATTATCTTCAGCGTTAAAAAAATGTAGACGAGACATATTAGTTGAAAATGTTATATATTTTATGTTTATTGATTAGGTATTGTCTTATCTCAAAAATCCCTACTATATTATAATCCCTATTCCCTACTACATAATATATTATAGATGCGAAAGTAACTCTGTCTGCCTGTCTGTTACGCTTGGACTCCTAAACCACCGAACTGATTTTAATAAAATTTGGTACAGACATAGAGTTGACCTTGAGAAAGAACATAGGATAGTTTTTATCCAAGACTTTTGAAAAGTTCTCTTGGAAACGCGATATAACCGAACTACACGCGGGCGAAGCTGCGGGCGGAAAGCTAGTATTTTAATAAAACAAGGACGATATGGATTTGAACGTACTAACTTCGGATATGGATATAGTTTCGGATACACCAAGATATAATTATAACATCGGATATATACGGATAAATAAAAATATTCTGATTTCTCTTTTCAAATAAAACGGTAAAATAACTTACAATTTGGTGATGATTGCTTATGATGATTGGTTAAAACACAATAACTCAAGAAACAAAGGTATTTTTTTCTAATAAATACCCTTATTATTTAATTACAAAAGTAAAACCAGAGTACTGTGTCAATTAATTAAAATGAAAGTTACTACTAAATCATAATTTTAACCCTCCATTTAGAATGTCTGTCATAATTTGTGATAATCCTAAATTATTTTTTAATATAAGATTCAGTTACGGTTACGGAACTGATTAATTTCCGGATATCCGATAGTTATGGTTACGGAATAAAAACCCATTTTACTTTTAAATAAACTTGAGAAATCTATTACTAACTTGTCAAAATCGGATAACTAGTTCTATCATTGCATTTTAACATCTATATATATACCCAACCAGGTTTTCCAAATCAAATGAAAATTAATACATTCAATAAGCAGCCTTATGTTGTACACATTAAGGTATACTTACGTTTCCTCTTATCTATGGTGAGCTGAGTGTATTCTTTGTCAGGTATTTCTTCCTTCACCTTTGCCTCCATCTGAAAAAAAAACACATTTCAGATTAAAAAATCAAAGAAGAAAAACTTTTTCGTAATATAAGATAAAAATAATAATATTTGACCTATGTACAATTAATTATTTATATTAAAGATTTAAGATTTTCATTTTTCATATATGTTATTATTCTACTATATAAATTAAAAGGTGTGTATTAAAATAATTCATTTAAAATTTAAAAAATTATTCAATAGAAGAAAAATCTCGTAATACTATTTAGACATATTATAGCACTAATTATATAATTTTCAATAATTTTTATGACCATTTGTATAACAAAGTGATTGCAACCAAAATATAATCAATGTACATACATTTCATAACAGGCAGATTAAATATAGTCTGGTGGACCTTGGACGAGAAACGGTCCGCTTTGACCGACTCAGAATACAAACATTACCTGACTATACACCGTCCAGGGACCAGTTCAAATGATTTATCACTCACTGACTGACCAAGTCGACATATCATAAGCGAGACACTTATATTTTTTTCATTTTATTTAACTATGAGAGTCGCTAATTATTCTGTTTTGTGCAATCTGATTTATCTCGTAATAAAAAATATATAAAACATGTAACTTATTAAACAATATATGATTTTTAAACATATATATCTCTTCCTACATAATGTTATAATATATATTTTAGTACAACATGAAAGAAATTATCAACAAAGTAACGTATATTTTGACATGGACCGATTCTGATAAGAATTTTAATATAGAGTAAACATCACAATGGAAAAGCTTATTCAATTTTATCGAAGAAGTTGTATAATATAAATTTATATTGTATTTCCAGTCGACTCCCACTTGACGGAACAGATGTTTCATTTTCATTGAAGACGTGAAACACGCGGCGTTTAGACCGTGACGCACTGTGTAACGACTTATACTGTGATATACATACACACAGACATATATACATATATAATATATATATACAGAGTAGCTAAATCCTTACAAACTAAAATAAAACTAATAATATTTGTATTATTATGCGTATTTTATTATTTTAAACTACATACTCGCTACATTTCGGTTACTTTTCAGCAAGCATGATCACGAAATTTAACCGAAACGTTTTGAGTATGTAGTTTAAAAAAATAAAATACGCATAGTCCAAAAATATTAGTTTCATTTAAATGAATACACGCCAATCTTAGATCTCATAAACTATTATATTATTTTCCCATAAACTTTATATATAAGTCAATTTCAAATAATCTAAAAGAAAACTGTATCTGCTATATGTTTTGTTTGTGATGATATCCGGCTCGCGCGTGACGGCCAGCTGGTTCATAGCGGGAGTAACATCTGGAGGCGAGGCACGCCGCGGTATACACATGTATAGATATAAATAACTTCAATCACATAACGTAGATACTGTATTTTGATCTGCGACCGACAAAACCAAGGTGCTATATATGAGGGAAGATTTTAAATATAATTACTAGCTTTCCGCCCGCAGCTTCGCCCGCGTGGTGTTCGGTTATATCGCGTTTCCAAGAGAACCTTTCAAAAGTCTGGTATAAAAACTATCCTATGTTCTTTCTCAAGGTCAACTCTATCTCTGTACCAAATTTCATTACAATCAGTTCAGTGGTTTAGGCGTGAAAGCGTAACAGACAGACAGAGTTACTTTCGCCTTTATACATATTATGTATTTATACATAATATTAGTAGGGATTAATATACGATTTTTAACGTTTGAAATATACATATATCTTTATAAGGTTTCATACCAGATATTTTGATTAACAAATAGTGTGAATTTTTAAGATATTTCATAATGTATTATACTAGATTTTGCTAGCGACTTCGTCCGCGTCAATTTTGCAATTAGTAATATATGTATAGCTGACCGGGCGTACTCTATTCCGCCTTAGAGGCCGTAAATAACCAGATATTGGAACTTATTAAGTTTTCTTTCTTTTTTGATCGAATAGAATTAGTTCTAAGCTATCTCTCCACCAATTTTCAACCATATCCGTACAGCATTCTTAAGTTATAAATAGAATAACTAACACAAGTATATATATATAGTAGTAGTGTTTGTAGGTCTGTATATATATATGATAGTGCTGCACCTGGCGCCTGGCACACACATCTGGTGCTCCTAACTCCTACATAAAACGGAACATTATGCCAAATTGATTTTATTTGTAATAAACTGTTATTGTAAAGATAAAGGAATGATTTAACTTCTTATATATTAATTAAATATTTTATTATAAATGAACATAATGTTAATAAAATATATAATTATTAATATTTTATTAACATTATAAATTGTTTTCTTAAATCTTCTTACCACAAGTTTATTCACAATACTAAGCTTTTCACGTTTTTTTATTGAATAACCTGTGTTGATACTATAATTTGACAATTAATAAACGAATTTTTTACGTTCCGTATTTAGTGTGACGATACAAACTATTAGTAAGCTTAATATATTCTAAAGAAGTTATTCTGAATTTCTTTGACGTTTGAAAGAAAGCTCTTTATAAAATTAATATATAAAAAAATATTAAAAGTATATAAATACGACAAAATATAATATTTTTATTAAGAATCATATAATATTTATATTATATTCGGAAGACAATATTGGTTTTAAAAACCTCTAATTTACAAAAAAAATTACAGATAAGCATCTTGTTTTTTGTAAACACATTATATTGTCTCCAAATTCAATAATTTATATTCTAGGATTTCATCACTAACGTAATTCTGATCGACAGAATCCCCTATTTGAAGAGACGGTGAAGGGAGCGGGTCAGGAAGGGTAAGGAGGGGGTAAAAAGGGGGGTAAAGAGGGGGTAAAGAAGGGGTAAATCTCGTTAAGGCAGGATTCACAGGTGCGAAGTTTTTTAAACTAGTTTTATCGACGCGTTTGAATAGATTACATACCTTGTTATCATACACAGAACGATGTTTCAGGTCTGATGCTGAAGGGATTTTAAAAAATTGGTGTATTGAAGGAGACAGGAGTTAGTAAAAAGATAAGGTTTTATTATACTTGACAACCAACATTCTAGGGAGCAGATTGAAGAAAAAAACTAGTTAAATATATTAAAACTGTCTGAAATTAAATGTCATAGAACAATTACTTACTAATATTTAACAATTTAAAAGAACCACTCAGTTCTACCAACGAAACAAGATAGAAAATGTAAACACGATGACGTGTACAATCCTACGTCACGAACTAAGACCGAATAAGCATCATACATCCGTCCCTTTCACTCGCACGTAATAACACAGACAGATGTGACAAATTGTTACACATACACTAAAAGGAGTACGTGTTTAGGGCGTTTGGGTGAAAATATAATGAAATACTGTGGATAGAAAAAAAAACTGTACAATACACATACATTACTGGCAGCGGTTAAAAATAAATAAACCATTAGAATTGCTAGTGGAAACAGAAGGGGGAGTGACGTCAGAGCTGGCAGCATGTGTTGTGGCGAAATGGGGGGTGGGGGGAGGTCCAGCAGGTTTATTACACCTGGAGATGAGTTCTATATGAATTATACAAATCAGAAACGTGACTCAAATTAATATATTTTCTAACGTCTTTATTTCAGAGATGTTTCGGAATTGTCATCCTCTTGTTGTTGAGTCGATGTGGATGGAAATTAATGCATTTATTATTACAGCTTATGAAATTGGACCTGTTAGACCTGGAAATAATTGAAATAATCGCTTAAGCAAACGGTAGTGTGTTTGAAATAGATTATACTTTAAGAGGTGGAATTATTTATAAGTATTTATGGATATATTTTTAAATTTTCCATTCATATCCACATTCACTCAAATAAATTTAAGGACACGACTCTAATAGAGTTTTTCATACCTCTAAATAGTTTTAAGTCTCTATTTCGTTTCAATATTCACAGACGTTGTATTCCAAGGGACAATTTGATTTTAAAAGGTTCTGTCATTTCATTTTCTTTTTATTTGGTTATCAAAGCGACGTACTCGGAGAGGAGTCGGGTGAATAGTTTATATCAAACTGTTATATAGAGGGGATGTTTAAAATTGTACTTATATTCGCTAACTCTATATAGAGTTTAGTTATTTCGTCTTCCACTCAAAAGTTTTGTATCATAATATCTGATGAATATGTGGATTGAAAATAGGTATAGCGCCTTTTAACGATTAAAACTTATATAAAATGCTTTGTTTTTCCAACCTTAAGCAGTCATATATATATAACATATATAGATGTATATATTGTCTGTATCACAATGAGATCAAGCTGTTCACAATACTTCAATAAATATACTAAACATAGTATATTGGAATGCCAACTGTCGCTTTAATAGAAAAGCCAGCAGATGTCGCCACTGGAGCGCCCGATCGTATTATCATTTAGACCTACTGTATTAGATTGAAGTAACTCACGAACAGAAACTTTTGTTTTTAATTAAATTGTTACATTAAAATAAAAATATATATTAGGAAATATATAAACATTCGTTTTTCTTCTTCTTCTTCTACCTGTCAATTTCCCAGCTTTAGCCAGGGTCTGCCTTACATGTTGTGAATACTTTGGCTAATTATTTTTACGACCGGCCGTTTGCCTGACATCAACCCTCTTTGGGAATGCATTAATCAGTGATGTCTCAATACTCTTAGAAAGTACATATGACTCGGAAAAATCACATTGGTACTTGCCAGGATCGAACCCGCGCCCTCGTGCATGATGGGCGAGCCTTTTAACCACTAGGCCACCACTGACTTAACGGAGAATATTTTTCTATCGCAATCTTACTCTCCGCGATGTATTTTATTGCTAACTGCCATGTGTGTATATTAAATATAATTGTATATAATATTTAATTGTATTTTCTATAATATTATATATTGAATCGTAATATGTATTTTCCGAGTCTTTTCCTTGAATACTTTGAATAAGCAAAAACTGTTTAAAGATGACTTATGAGAAATGAAAATCACGATATACAAGGC